CTTGTATTTAAATATTATCCCATCTTACTGAGGAGGAAGGGGGAGAATTGAGACAAAAGTGGTTATTGTAACCTTGGGCAGGTGGCTCGTTAGCAGCAGAACCTGGGGGCTTCCAGTCCTGTGGTTGTCTCTGGGCAACTTTACTGGTTCTCTATAAGCAGAACAGACTTGATTTTATTTTTAAAACTCTGTGTCAAAAATCATCCCTCCGTGAAACAACCTGAGCTCTTTGGAATTGCTGATGAGAACACATTCTATTGGAATTGGAATCTAGTGCCTGATACCTTTTACCTGGTGACAGATGGGGGAGCTAATTTGTGGCTGAAATCTTTTATCACTAATCATGTTGCTAGCTAACTGGGGTTATTCACGTGCATATAAAGGAGCAGTCTGAAATCTTATCAGGAGGGGAAGATACTTGGGCCTTAGAAACTCTGCGTTGGTAAACTCTTAGCTTCAGTGATGCACAGCAAAGCAGGCTCCCCTGTTCAGCTGCAGAAATACGATGAAGGACCATTGTGTATCTTGCAGGTGGCTCTGGAAGGCGGGGGGGAAGATTTTCTGCCCAAGGCATGGGGTAAGTTTCACTGAATCCAAAGCACAGGAAACGCAAAATTCCTTGCAATTTTTTTCTTTTTTTCTCTCTGCATATGGAAGCCTCTATAGTAATCTTGTTAGTAACTGATGGCTTCAGTCATTCCCCATTGACTTATGCTGGTTTATCTGTTTCCATGTCAGCATAGCATTGCACTCAGGTACATTTGGAATAGCTAAGTCAGCTGTAGCCTGTCTGTAAAGGGGGTTGGGTTGAGCCTGCTGGGAATCTTCCAGCAGTGCCCTTATTTAAATGCAGTTGATCTTCGCTTGTAACAGTTGCGAGGAAAACTAAACCTGGTCCCCTAATCTGTGCTGCAGAACTTTCAACCCAGCTGATTACGCAGAGCCAGCCAGTACGGAGGAGAACTATGGGAATAGCAACAACAACACGTGGAACAACACTGGCAGCTTTGAGCCCGACGATGGCACGAGTAGGTGACCTCCATGCTTCAGTCCCGTTAAATCAGACTTTGATTTCTTGCAAGTCTCCCTCAGTCTTGTGGGCTGAGTGGAAGAAAGCCACCTGTAGATTCAGGGCTGGAATTCAGCAACCTGAGTCCATAGCCTCTGGGGCTGGCATTCTGTAAGACACTTCTAGACTATCATTTGAATTGTCATGACTGCTCTGCTATGGTGACTACACCAGGCAGTAAGTGTCAGAAGCGCATGGGTGTCCTGTGGAGAGGCCACTTGGTAACCAACAAGGCTGACCATTCCACTTTCCATTGTGCATGGTACATGAGCTGCCCTTTGAGTTAAGATGTCATCTTGCTCTTGATTTGGGTATGGAAGCACTGTGCTTCCTATCATTTTTCTTGCCCAAATGGTTTGCAAGGTGAGATCTAATTGGAGAGACCAGGCCTAAGAGTATTGTATACTCATTGCTTCCCTTTTTATCCAGTTCTTTCTTCTTGGGGAGATCTACATTTTTTTTCTTGCCTTTGCCATTTTCTTGCACCATGAAAATGAAACAGGACATTTTCATATAAACATTGAGGGTAGGTTTGTGACACTCCGGAGAATGCAGTTTTGCCGTGCAGTGACTCGGCATAGTCTCATGGGCCCCTTTTTCTGACTAAAACTTAGTAGTCTGTTTTGAGGGGAGGTTGTCTTCTGGAGCAGTCTCCAAGTTTCACAATTCTTTCCCTGAGATAATCAGGTGACCTCAGCATGTTTTGTTATAAGAATTGGCCACAACTGCACATCAGAATCTGAGACTATTTTCAACTGGCCCTTCTCTCTGCTTTTGTCAGCTGCAAAACTTCTTTGGTAGTGGTAGTAGTGATGATGGGACTGTGATGGTCCAGGGATGTGGGAAAAGCCAGATTTGTGAGGTGAGGGTATATCTTTTATTGGACTAACTTGTATAGTTTTGGGGCAGGAGACGAAAGCTTTTGGGCTTCTAGAGACCTGGTGAAGCTGTTTCCTCACCTTGCAAATCGGACCACTTTTGACCATTTTAGAAAAAAAAAATTAAAATCTGTTGCTTGCTACTGATTACGTGCTGCCTGCCCAAGGAATGGGTTAATAAACAGTATGCTGTAGCTACCATAATTTCTTGGATCATGTATAACTAACTTTAGGACCATACAGTTCATTTTAACAAGCCTGGGCACCATGCAGCCCTAAATATGTTCCGTTTTAGAAGATGGGGATGGTGTCTCTAAAACGAGATCAAACAAATGATGTATGGGTGTTTGTCTGAGCTTTTTTGCGAATTATAACTGCAGTGGGTGATTCAGTGACATGTAGCCAATAAATCTTGAATGTCAGGGGGTTGGATTGAGGATTTGTACTTTTGGGGGGCAAGGGGATGTCCTTGTATTGCAATATGTAGGATAATAGAGCCAGATAGGAATGCTTCAGTTCTACTTACTTGGAACTTGCAGCTTTTGTGTCTGAGGCAGGTGGTTCTTGGGAAGAGTAGATAAAAATGTTCTCATGGTTTGGGTGAGAAATTGTTCCTCTCTAGGTGAAGGGGTCCAGGTTTGCTTCTGTGCTGTAATGTGCACATCGAGCTTACCCTGAAATTTCCTTATTCCAACACACGTGTCATGCATGGTCATCTGGTTTCCATTGTAGCAGCCTTGAGTGTATCTTAATATTAACAATATCCACAGGTACCGTGTATCTGATGTTCATGGGGGCAATGAAACTCGTTCTCACTTCTCAAGCCAAAATGTCACTGGTTCTTTCTTTTCTTTTTTTTTGTTTCAGGACTTGATTTCATTGGGGTTGAGGGGGCAAATTATCCCCGAAAATTTGACACTGCTCCTGGTACGATACATCCAGGTGCACAAACTGCCCCGGATACCTTTCCTCTATAGCTTTTTTTAAGAAACTGAAATATCTGTGGATATGTCATTCTTTTCTCTCTCAACTTGTTCATATTGACAAGTACTGGATGTTTGTTCTGACTGTGCTTTTACTAATGCTGACCCCTGACATGTGAATTGGGCAAGGTGAAGTCCAAAGGCATGTGAAATGTGTGAACATCAGCTTCAGCCCCTGTTTGTCTGCACTCCTTGCAGTACTGCGTCCAGGTCCCTAACCGTACACGACCTCCTACCCAGGACAAGGAAGTGCTAGCAGCTTGGGCTCCTGCTGTTCTTCCCAAGCTCTGACTCTGCTTTCTCTGAATGCTGCATGCTTCCCTCACCCTTGGCTCTCTGGCCTCTTCATAAGTTTCATAAGGGGATAATTAGTCCTGCTAAATTATCTCAGCACTCTGCTTCCATTTACAACTGCTTCTTGATGAGCTGCTTTGGGGTGCTTTTGCTGTGCAGCTTCTCTTCTTCCTGTGAAGGGCTTGCCCTGAAATTGAAATGTTCATAGATACCAACCACACGTGCAGCCATAGAAGGAGGTTTAGACCCTTGTCACTTTGTTTCTTAGCTCTTGCCCTTCCTGAACTCCAGGGTACAGGGACATGTAGCCTTGATGTACAGTACAGCATTGGCCCCAGAACATCCTCCTCTTCCTGCAGCCAGCCCAGTAACTGGTCTGACTTCAGCTTCTCTACCACAAAGGTCTCTAGTCTTGATGGGAAGACTCCAAGGGATGAATAATCTGCTACTGTAAAGTAAAGCCCCAAGTTCTCCCATGTGCTCTTCAAAGTTGCAGCCTGCCCCAGGGATAGGGATGTAGGGATTCATTGGGGATCTGAACAGAGATTTGCTTTAAGTTCCTCTTCCCATTCTGTGGGCTTTGAATCTCTCTTCCCAATTTTCTCCCTAGTCTGAGTTTACACTTGCCTGTTCCTTAATATCTAGGATACAGCTCTGAACAGGGAGCTCCAGCTCTGCTGGTGTGAGCAGTGGGTAGCACACAAGTAGTTAGCGTGAGCCTGGCTGTTGGAGATCTGCTATGCAGTGGTGGGGAGGTGCATCTAGATTTACATTTCATGAAGCAGTGCACAGCCAGTGTGGAGTGATGCAGAGCTTTTCCCTGGAGCCCAGCGGCACCCTTCTAAATTGAAGCAGTGAGTATCTGTCTAGCTACACAAGGCATCTCATCTGCAAGCTTCCCAGTCAGTCCAGGGTGCAGCTGACTTGGAGGTTAGTGTTACAGGGACAGTGCCCTTTGCCCTGTGCTTAGGGGCAGAAGAGTTGAGGTGCCAAGGCTTCCATGTCTGGAAGCTCTCCAAGGAGAGTGGCTGTCCACTGTTTGTAGCACGTGTCCTGCCTCTGGACTACCTCTCTTGATGCTGCAGTCATTGCCCTCAGCTGCCCCAAAAACATCCTGCACATAACAGCATGCCTTTGAAGAGAGAATATCTGCAGCTCTGAAAGAACCTTCCTCACTGGGGCAGAGGGAGGAGACTACCCAACTCGAGGCTGTTCTAAGCAGGACAGTCTGCATCCTCCTGCTAATGCTGAGAACTAGGCTCACTGCAGGCCTTGCTATTCCAGGAGCCCGTAGAGATGTTTGGCATCTCCAAGCAGGGTGGGAGCTATTTGCTCCCTTTCTGGAGAGCCCCAGGACAGGCAGCTTCTTACTGCCAGTCCTTCTTTCTCTGTCCCCTTCTCTGCATTAAAAACACAGGACAGGGCTGCCCTTTGACACCCCCAAAGCACCAGTTGGGAGCTGTTCTGGAATGCAGGGAGAGCCCTTTCAGTGGGCAGTGATCCCTCATGGGGCTTCTCTCACTCGGATTTTCCTTCTTTTTCTAAAATGCTCTACTTAAGCAAGAGGGGAAATGAAAGTGGGTCCCGTGCTGTGTCCGTCAGCACGTGCCCTCCTGAGCTCCTCCTACTGTGCTTTGCCAACCTGCAATCTGACAGACGTATCTAGACCTTCCACTTCTCTCTGGGTAGGGGAGCTGGGCACCTGAGCAGCTTCTAGTCCCTGAAAGGCTGGAAAAGAACCAGCCCGCTGCTGCTGAGAGCGCAAGCAAGCGAGCAGATAGGGAAAGCTGGCTTCAAAAAAAGCTAGCCCAGCTGTGTAGCACATACTTGGTTCCCCTGCCTGATTGCTGCCTTCTGGGGGACAAAGGGGATTCCTGAAGGGTGAGGGGCTTTGGGTCTGTTAAGGCTCAGAGGGATTAAATTGTATTCATGTTTGTATTTCTAATAGTGTTTAGACACTAAGGTCTTTAGATTGGCTCAGCTCATTAGGCTCTGCTGTAACTTCCTTGGTGCTCCCAAGCAACTACATTTCTGGAACTGGGTAACTTAATGGCAGCATACCTAAAAGGACCTGCTGCCCTCAGACCGTGCCCTTTAAAAGCAGGGGCCCAAAATGCTTTTGTACCTACAGAGCTTTCCCAACCCAGGCTAAACCTGCCAGCTGCTGAAGTTGCTGATGCCAACTCATCCTAGCTTTGTAAATGTCTCCAGAATTAACCCCATTGGCTGTGTGGCTTTTAATCTGGTGTGTATGGGCTAAAAATGACCTGCAAAACAAAAAAGTTAGTTTTTGTGCCATGGATTTTTTCACATGTGAAATGCTCCTCCTTTTCTCCCACCACCCCAGAACTTTAAAGTTCTGTGGTTGAAAGATTCAAATGAGCATGTGTCATTCAGGATGCTTGGTTCAAACTGATACGGTGGAATTGAGGGACTTGGAACTGGCTGGAAGGTGACGCAGTCAGGTTAAGGATAGGTTTTCTTAAGGATATCTATGTTTTACAAATTGCACCTTGATGCATTGAAACTGAAACGCTGCACTGCGTGCTGCAGTACTTCAGCGTGCTCGCCTTCCGCATCTCTCTGAAATTGGGGGCAGAAAAATTCACGCATCAGTTGTAGGGTAGCAGAAAATTCGGTTTTTGAATTCTCACGTACTAATTCATACTGTTGGATTTCGAATCCTGCAGGGAAACATTGACGTGTAAAAAAAAAAAAAAAAAGAGGCACCCAGCAAACTGCTTGGTTATTTGTGGGCTGTTTAAAATAAAGTTTGACAAAAGTGAAGCTTAGAGCTAAGCTTGACTTGAAGGTACCCCTTTAAGAAAACCCACTTGATATGGTCGTAGCTGCATGGTCATGCCCCCTTACAAGCTGGCAGAGCCACATCTGGAGCCACTTTTGGCCTGTGCTGCTGGGATTAACCTGGCTGGTTGTAGGAGCAACAGCTTGCAGTAAATGCAGCCAGCGTAGCATGAGGTAGGAGCAAGAAAACTGCCAGCTCAGAATGCGGGGGCTTAGGGGGAGTCTGGGGAGCCCTGTTTCTGCTTTGGTGTTGGGGCGTGTTTGCGCAGCCTTCCTTTGCCTCTAGCCTGTCTGGTTGGTGAGTAAGCACCCACCCTGCTGCCTGCAGTGCCCCCAGTGCTTCCCTGGCTTGTGAAAGGAGTGGGACTGTGATGTGTGCATGCACCTGCACATGTACACATGTGTAACTCTTGTTATCCTTCTAGGTGCATGGAGGACAGCGACAGAGGAATGGGGAACAGAGGACTGGAATGAAGATGTAGGTACTCTCCAAGCCCCTTCTCACCATTTTCTCAGCAGGCTGTCCATCTGTGGGGCGGGCAAGGCCTGCTGGTAGACAGCAGAAGTAACCTTGCCTGCTATTGCAGAGAACCCCATGCCATGGTCCTTTTCATAAGCTGGTCAGACTCCATCTTGGAAATCACTGGGTTGTTTGCCCCAGAGCTTCAGCTGTGCTACAGCAGGGAGAGCTCTGCTTTTGGTTGGCTATATACTTGCTGGGGCTTGGGGAGGGGAGCACATCTTTTTTGTCAAGGCTGCGGGTCCTGTGACTTTGCAAAAGGGCCAGGTTTTTCCTTTTGTGTTGGTCTGTCTTGTTTCCATGTCCCTGCCTCCCCTCTGCTGCTCTGGAGGCACCTTAGCTCCCACACTGACCTGGGATTGATGTCCCCCAGCATTGAGCCCCAGACCCTGTGCTGTGTGAGTCAAAGAAGTGATTTGCAGTGTTAATGGCAGCAGAATCGGGGTTTCTACAGCTTTTTGCTTCCCTGTGTCTGAGCTTTTGTGGATCTGACAACAAAGGAAGAGCTTCCCTCTGCCTGAAAGGAGGCAGCGCTGCTGCTGTTAGAGCAGCCCCCCAGCTGTGCTGGGGCCAACCTTAGGTCTCCACCTTGTGCTGTTCTTGGTACCCTTCTTGTATTGCACTTCCCAGCCTGAGGCTCTTTGCCCATGAGCTAAGCATTCTGGCCTGTGCCCCTGCTCTTTGATTGCCTATTAGTATCAAGGTGCTAGCAGCTGCTCTCAGGTTTCACTCTGGGATAGAAGCTGTTCGTACGCTGGTGTGTTCCAGACTGGATTACGCCATGGTCACTAGAAAACTTCCTGTTACTTAAAACTGAAACAGTCCTTACCTGCCCTGCAGGAGGCAGGCTATGCTTTATTTGCTAATTAGTCCCAGCCCTGCAGAATACTTGCATTGCTTTGCCTCCAGGGAGGTGTAAGCCTACGCCTTGAGGCTTTGCTTAGCATATCCGCTGCTCTGCCTTAGCAAACCTGTTGCTGCCCAGCCCAGCATCTAGATGCCAGTCTAAGTTGGGTAATTTCAGGCTCGTCTGCGAAACCAGATCTGAGGCCTTTTCTTCATATGGCTTTTGGCAGATATCACTTCTCACTGGAGTGAGTTTTGTTGGTTGGGACTGCACGTCTCCAGTTTGGGCACTTATGTAACTCCTCGGCATCCTTGGAGATCTGGGGGTTGTTAGGAATGAGGAACAGACCTTCTTAAGCATGCTGCATTGTTCAGGGGTCTTGGGGTGGTCAGATGTGGTCTGATTAAAACTACGTGTGGAACCCATGCTGGTTTCTTGGGGGATGCTGCGAGTGGAGAGTAATCCCCAGCCTGAGGTGCCTTGTTTTTTGCTTTGACTTTGGAATCTCCCTGGCACATGGTCCTGACTCTGGATTGCTCCCCTCTTCTGTCTTCCAGCTTTCAGAGACCAAGATCTTCACTGCTTCCAATGTGTCCTCAGTACCTCTGCCTGCAGAGAATGTAACAATCACAGCTGGACAGAGGTGAGGGCTCAGTTTAACAATGCTGTTCCCCAAAATCAGTGGGGCAGTCTGTAGACAGGAGATAACTTCACTCCTGAGCCGTCACTGAAAAAAACCTCAGTGGCATTTTGCTAACGTGGCTTTGACATTGGAAGCCAAGAGGTTCCGCATTCCCCTGGGTTCAGCAAATCCTGTATAAAACAGGTGTCAGATTTCTGAGAATCTTTCTCGGGGCTTGACATCTCCCATTGATTTAAATGGAAGGCATGCACCTTGGACCATTAGACTGACTCAGACCTCAGTGAAGATGCTTAGATGATTCACAGGACATGCAGGTGATTTTTGGTGTTGGCAGGGAGCTCTTCCAAAAGGCACTTAGATATTCAGGGAGTTTGCTCCTTTCATGCGACTGAAATGCATTCCTGCAGAACATGTCTTGCACTCAGCCGTGTCCAGCATTGCCATTTCAGACCAGCAGCATGGTCGGCAAGCACTGCAGTTGTCTTGTGTCCTGACACTCAGCAACTGTTGTTATGCCCAGTTGTTCCATTTTTTAGCTGCCTGCAATAGAGGCTGGGAACAGGTCACATCAGTGAGTTGTTTGAGATTGCTAGAGACCATGTGCGTTAACATCCATGTCATCTAGCCCAGTTCTCTGGGATGTGGATCTCTGAGGATGTAGTGTCAGGGATAGGAAGCCAGAGTAAGGCACTGAAGGTCTTAGTAGCCTGGGTCTCATCCTCTCCCCTTCTCCCCCCAGAATCGACTTGGCAGTGCTGTTAGGAAAGACCCCCTCTTCTCTGGAGAATGAGTCAGCAAGCTTGGATTCATCACAGGCCCCTTCCCTGGCCCAGCCTCTGGTGTTCAGCAATTCCAAGCAGAGTGCTCTATCCCAGCCAACCTCTGGGAACACCTTCTCTCATCACAGCATGGTAAGTGGGTGGGCCTGTGTCCATGGTTGGTTGTGACTTGCTCGCTGCCCTTGTGTGGATCCTGGGGCTTGGTGACTTGCCAGCCTCAGTCTTGCTCTTTGCACAGGCGTGCTTCTCACTGCTGCCTCGTGTTAGGTGGGGAGGGGCCAGGCTTGTCCTTAGAGACCAGAGCCCCAGGCTGGGGCAGACAGTGTGACCCCCACCCCCGCACCCCTTCCCTGTCATAACCGCAGGTGAGCATGCTGGGGAAAGGGTTTGGAGACGTCGGGGAGGCCAAGGGCAGCAGCACCACAGGCTCGCAGTTCCTGGAGCAGTTCAAGACCGCGCAGGCCTTGGCTCAGCTAGCGGCTCAGCACACCCAGCCAGGCGGGAGCACCGCTGCCTCCTCCTGGGACATGGGGTCCACAACGCAGCCCTCGGCCCTCGTGCAGTACGGTAAGGCGCAACTGCTGCCGGGAGGTAGTCCGCTGGGGTGGCAGGCTTCAGAGCCTTTCAGAGACCGTAGCCAGACTGTCAGAGCCAGACTGTCAGAGCTGGGTTTTGTGGGGATGTAAATCTACTTGCCCTCTGGATGGAGAGAGACTCAGCAGACACCAAGCCAGAATCTTTTCCTCCACCCTTCCTGCCCCCAACAGCAGAAACGAGCCTATTCAGAGTGCCTGTGTTACCAGTATCAATCTTGGCATGGCTGCAGGTACTGGGGGTGTCAGACCACTATGGGGTGTGCCTCCCTGCCTTACCTTAGTAAAGAGGAGCATTCGCCTCAGCACCGAGCAGAGGAGCTGTCTTGTGCACTAGATTTAGAACACGCGCACATTTGCCACTCTTGGACGTGTGTGCTGCTGACCTAGCATAGCCTTTGAATAGACAACCACCTACTTCCCAGGTATCTTTCACGGTAGAGACCGATGTACACACAGTGACTTCCTTGCCTCAAAAGGTCTGGCCTGGAGGAATGGCCTGAGGGCCCTTCAGCCCAAGTTCTCATGTGCTTCGAAGGCCACACTGAACTCCGCTGTGATTGAGCATTATCCTGCTCCTTCCAGCCTCTGTTTTGTTTTTTGCACTGGGGAAATGGCTCCAGTTCAAATCTGAGCTGTGGAAAAAATTCAGCCCTGTTCTTGCAGCAGCCAGTGTTGGCATCGCCTGGGCCCTTCAGACAAGGGGCCATAGAGGAGAAGCAGAGAATAGGAGCTGCTTGTAATAAGTGGTGGTATTGAGTGGGCTGGAGCAGGGCAGTGAGCAGTGGAGTGGTGGCCTGGGGCTGTGTGGAGGAAGGGCAGGTGCTGCTGTGTGCAGGGCAGGAATGGGGCAGTACGAGGCAACCTGATGTGCGGGGAAGGGCAGGGGGGCAGAATCAGCTCAGTACAAGGGTCAGGTGTTGAGCCCTCACCTGCGCAGGGCCCAGGGTGAGCCCATCCCTTTTGCGACAGGGAAGGAGTCCTGCTGTCTGGACTTGTCTCCCCCTGCCTCTGTGGGGAGAGTGTTTGGGGGCTAAGGAGGAAAGGGGGCTATTTGCCTGCAGGGCTGGGAAAGGGTTTGGTTTAACTGGATGAGCCTGGGGTGAGGTCGAGTGCCAGGTCAGGATGGTGGGGCTCTGCTTTTGCACTGCCACTGACTCCTGGGCAAGCCACTCATCATGCACTCTCTCCCCACTTCGTGGGAGGGAAAATATTTTGGCTCCAGACTGGGGCAAAGGCTGGTTGTTTGAAGTGGAGAAGCACCTGAACTTATTTTGGCTCCGGGGAAACAACCCCATTGGTCCAACCTTGTTTCCCTTAGATCTAAAGAACCAGACGGACTCCTCCGTCCACAGCCCCTTCACCAAGCGCCAAGCCTTCACGCCAACGTCGACCATGATGGAGGTGTTCATGCAGGACAAGCAGCCTGTGGTGACGGCCCCTGCAACGGCACCACCGCCCCCTTCCTCTCCCCTGCCCAACAAAACCAACCCAGTTCCCCAGATGTCCCCAGGGTCTTCAGACAACCAGTCCTCCAGTCCCCAGCCAGCGCAGCAAAAGCTCAAGCAACAGAAGAAGAAAGCCTCTTTGACATCAAAGGTATGGACTGTGGGAGGGGGAAGGAGGCAGTGTTGTCTCAGAGCTGGGGCAGGCTCTGTTCGTGTCACCGAGAGTGAGGCTGAGTTCAAAGGCCTTTCATAGGACTGATGAAAACTAAACAAATCTAGAGTGAACAAACATATTTGAGTGGGGTGACCACGGGGAGGGTGTACTGGTCACGAGGCTGGGGAGCTCACCAACCTTGTGTCTGATGGCATCAACCCCATGGATGTCAGAGCAGGTGATGGCCTGATCACAGTATTCTGTGGCTTCCAACTGGCTGATGTAGGAAGCCTGTGAGCACTGCAGTAGTGTACAGGCTGAGTCTGGACCCGTGGCATGCCCAAGGAGGTTCACCTGGCAGTGATGGGCCTCAAGCTCGCACCCTCCTTCCCCTATAGATTCCTGCACTTGCCGTGGAGATGCCAGGTTGAGCAGATATCTCAGGGCTAAACCTGCAGTTTGGGGCATTGCAGTTCGGCTCTGAGCCCGTGCTCTCAGAGTATGAGTCCACACCAGTGACGAGTGCTTCGGCAAGCCAGTCTCAGAGCAGCCTCTTCACCAGCACTGCGAGGTGAGGCTGGGTTGTGCTGCAAACTGCTGTGTCCTGGGAGGAAGGCACTTTGGGAGGCAGGCGGGTAGCAGTTTAGCTGCTGGCCCGGTATTTTTGGCTGGGGCTGAGTGGGCAACTTGCAGGCAGTCTCTGCTTGCCTCACTGTGGGGCGGGGAGGGGAGTAGCCAGGGGGAGTGAGGAGTGCTGGGAGCTCCCTTGGTGCCTAGGTGACCTATGTAGATGAGCAGTGATCCCAGGTGCTGGGAAGCCGGGGGGGGGCGGGAAACGTGCTGCTGAGCCCCTTGTTGCACTGCATACCAGTAGACCCTTTCCGACTCTGCTCATAGCCAGAAAGGGGGGACAGCGTATGCAACAGGAAACAGCTCAAGTGCCAGCAGACTCCTTCAGGCCAGCTGTGCCTGCTTGGCCTGCAGTGCTTGAACAGAGATCAAGATGGGGGCAAGCTTCCTGCTACCTTTGCAGTGAAAAAAGGGGAGTCTCACCGCAAGCACCCCTTGTTTCTCTTCCTCCTCCACTTTGGCTTCCTTGGCTTGCTGACGTCTGAGAAGGATGGGGTGGACAGGGAAAGCTGTGGTCTGGGCTGGTCAGCAGCTCCCTGCAAGGCTGCTTGGGTGAGACCCTAAACTCTCTTCATTCTTTGTAGTGAATCTTCGTCCACGATTTCGTCCAATCAAAGCCAGGAGTCTGGTTATCAGAGCGGCACAATACCGACGGCAACGTATACCTCCCAGAACAGCGCTCAGGGACCACTGTATGAACAGAGATCCACCCAGACCAGGCGATACCCAAACTCCATCTCCTCCTCGCCCCAGAAAGACCTGGCCCAGGCCAAGGTACGGCGATGGCCCTGACTCCTGCCTGGAAAGCAGCTGCATCCATTCTTGCTGGTGGTGCTGCTCTCAGTTTGGCAGAATGTGGACAGCAGGAGGGTCCATCATTAGCCTGTGGAACGCACTGCCTTGTCCCGGGGGTGGGAAGGCCCTGAGCAGGAAGGGTCAGAAGCAGTCGGACACGCATATACATCTTGATTGTCAGTTGGAATGAAGACTGGTAGTGTCGATGCTGGGCAAGAACACCAGCCTCCTGCTCAACACTTGAGGAAGAGGGGTTGAGAACAGATTTGTCGGGAGAGGGAGCAGATGCCATACTGAACTCTCCTTTTCTCTTCCAGAATGGTTTCAGCTCTGTACAGCCCACGCAGCTACAAACCACGCAGGCCGTTGAAGGTGAGGGTCTCAGTGACACGTGAGGTGCCTGCTCTCTTCAAGCACAGGAGTGTTGGGTTCTGAGGGAGGGTGAGCAGCAACTGCCCTGACGAGATGACCAGGGCTTCCGGAAAGCTCTCACCTAGCTGGGCAGTCTCTGCTGCTGCTTCATTTGCTTATGCAAAAGCATTCAGCTTTTTGATAACTTGCCTATGGTCCTCTGGGTAAGTCCTGTAACATCTGTGCCTTCTTTGCCCTCTGCCAGATGGGAGTGATAGTATTCTCCAACTGTCAGGCAGCGGGTTGGCAGCACAGCTTGGGCCCATCCCATCTCTCCCATCCCCTAGTCCAGTGGTTCTCAACCTTTGGTACCTTACGTACCCCCAGCTGATCGACATGGCAAAAGTGAAACCGGAAGTCCCACTGTGGCACTTCCAGTTTTGCTGCTGCGAGCTGAGTCCTACGTTTTCCACTGTGGCCCGGGGCAAAGCAGCCTGCGTGGGGCCTCCCTCCCCTATTCCCCAGCACACTGACACTGGGGAGTGAAAGCCCCGGTGCACCGGACACAGTGGGAGGAGCAACAACTGGAACTTCTGGCCCGAGCTGGCAAAGACCAAAACGCAGTACCCGCGTACCCCCTGCACGTCTCATGTACCCCCAGGGGTACGTGTACCACAGGCTGAGAAACACTGCCCTAGTCTGTGCATATCTGCTGGTGTCAGTTGCTGCCTCTCCTCCAAGGGCTGGTTGGAAAGGGTTCATGCCTGCAGTTACATGCTGATGTTACTGCAGGCCCTTAGCAGTCCCCTAACCAAAGTGGTTTCTTCCCAGGTGCTACAGGCCCTGCAGTGAAGTCGGATTCTCCCTCTGCCCCCAACATCGCGCCTCTCAGTGATGCTGTCTCTGCATCGTCTCTGCTGACAACAGCCAGCCAGCACTCGGCAGCCTTGGGCAGCCTGAGCCACAGCGAGGAGCTTCCCAGCACGACCACCACGCAGCTCAGCAGGCGAGCTTGGTGGGGCAGACCAGGGAGACTCAGTCCTGGGTTCCACTCCCTTCCTTGGACAAGGGAGACCCTTGCACCTGTTCCTTGCTACTGCTGCCTCCCCTTGTAGTGGGGACCCCAGGAGCTCTGTTCAGATGTCATATATGGGTGTTTTAGGTTGGGCCATCTCCTGCCCAAGCAAGGCGATGACTCAGGGAAGGTCTCTGGAGAGCAGTGTCTGGTGCTCTCTGCTTGCCTACAAAGCAGCCTCAGCCTTGGCTCCAGTCCTGGGCTGGGCATCCCTTTCCTTCCCATCCCATCCTGTCCTATTGGCTTGGTGGGGACACCCAAGCACAGCTGCATCTGGCAGCTGGCGCTTCCCACAGGGGAAGGGCGATCTCCATCCTTCCAGGTAGAAGAGCTGTGAGGGTGTTGTGCTGACCCAGGTGGGCCATGGGGTGCACTGCTATCCCCTCAGAACTTAACTCTGCTGGCTTCGTGGCTTTCCTTCTGTCCCTGCAGCACGTTACCCACGCAGCAGAACAGCCTCTCCTCATCAACATCCTCTGGGCGCACATCTACGTCCACTCTTCTGGTAAGTGTGGGGGCTGCCGAGTGGACCTGTCATGGTGCCAAGTGCCACTGCTTGAGTTGCTAGGCTGAGGCTGCTCGCGGCATGCCAACAACTCTTTAGCTTGCTGTAGCTATTGAGGGAAGAGTGTGTGCCGCAGAACAATCTGGAGATGCAACCAGATGCAGTCAGACCAGGCTGGTGGCTGACTGAACTGCACTACTTCGACATGCCTGTGACTGGAAGTGCTAGGGTGGGAAGTACAGTGTTAGTCTTCAGCGTCCCCTTGGACACCACTCTCCGCAGGTTGCACTGTAGCCGCTCTTGGCTTGTGTCAACAACTTGCCACGGGCCAGGATCATTTGGTTCTGTGTTCGTGCAGATGGGAGAGGTGGGATGCTGGGATGGGTATGTTAGCATTGGAAGAGTCAGGAGTTCTGGCTGTGATCAGGGTGTGGGGCTTCACCCCAGGGCATGTTCTGCGAGTGGTTCCTCTCTTGGTCCTTTCCTAATGTCTCACTCCCTGTATTGTCTTCCAGGCCTGGACTTTCCAAACCCTGGGGCATCTTTATCCTGTTTACTGACTCAACAGGATTCCTGTGCTAGGCTGAATTGAGGGGGAGGGGAGCGGGGGGGCTTTGGTTTCAAAACCTGTCAGGTGGCCAGTTTGCTAGTAGTTGTGAAGCTGCAGCAGCCACATTACTGATGACCTTGCCCCTCAGCCTGACTGCATGGGGCATCTGCCCCAGGGCTGGCTCTTGAGATGGGTAACTGTGTACAGAGCAAAGCAGCAGCATGCTTCCCCCATGTCTCTTGGGTGCCTTTAAAACAGGCTTCCCTTCCATCTGCCATGTATACTTGCTCCTAGGCCTATTTTGTGTGAGCTGGTAGGTTTGATGCCACTCAGTTGCTGTGCCAGGTGTCCTGAGCAGGCCTGTCTGCCTGCCACTGCACGGTGCTTGCTGGATAGCGGAAGATGTGCCTGAGCCTGGTCTGTTTAAGAAAGTGTAGAGGCTGGAGGCAGAGCTGGGAGCCCGGTGCAGGAGCAGGTCACTGGCCAGGCTCAGCAGCCAGGCTTGCAGCAAGCAGCTGGGAAGCTCTGGGTGTGGGGTGCCTGTGGGTCCCAGTAGGTGATGCAGATGGCCTGGCCCCAATGCCTCCCATTCTCTCTCTCCTCCATTAGCACACAAGTGTGGAGAATGAAGCGAGCCTCCATTCTGCTGCTAGCACTTTCTCCACCTCCTCCAGCACGGTCTCGGCTGCCCCGCCTGTGGTCAGTGTCTCCTCCAGCCTTGGCAGTGTCAGCAGCCTGGGGCTCAGCCTCGGCAGCAACTCCACGGTGACGGCCTCAACGCGCAGCTCAGTTGCAACAACATCAGGTACTTCCCAGGGTGGAGCAGGTACAGGCGGGAGCTGTGGGGGGGACTCTTCAATTCACCATGGCTTCTGTCCTCCTTCAGGAAAAGCCCCTCCCAACCTCCCTCCTGGAGTCCCACCGCTGTTGCCTAATCCGTACATCATGGCTCCAGGCCTGTTACACGCCTATCCGGTGAGTAGGGCAGCAGCTAGCTCACTGCAGAGTCGCAGCATGCCAGTAGATCCTTCCTAGCTCTCTCCCTGGCTAGGAGGGAGGGACAGCGCATGCTAGAAGAATCAGAGTCATACCAGATGCAATCAAGCAGACTCCTCCTGGTTGACCTTGCAACATCAGACTCTAACAAGCCTTGCCAGTGGGGCTGCCTTGGGCTGTGAGTCTGGGCTCCCCTCTCAGTGAATCCATGTAGCATGAGGCAGAGCAGTGCCTTTGTGCACCTGGGGCAGGTGCTGCACTGTGCATGCATGACATGGGCTGGCAGCCGAGTCAGTGCAGTGCAGTGCAGCAGTGAGAAGGGTTGTGGAGATCCTCCTGCCTGCTCCTTCATGAAGAGCAGTGGTAGCAGCCCAAGACCAGAGTACCATCCTCAAGGGGCAGGGTTTGGAACAGATCTAGCAACACTGCAGGTTAAAGGCAAATGAGTGATCTATGGCAGGCATTGAGACTAGGGCACATCACCGAGCTTTCTCCTGGTGGCAGAGAAGGCAGGAGGAGGCTGCAGGTGCGAGCTGCAGCAGCTGTCTTGGAAAAGTGTCTCTGGTTGGCACTGATGCCTTTATAGAAACATTTGAACAGATACTGTGGTCTGTGGGCTCAGCTTCCTCCATGCCATGCCCTCTTGCCCTCTGGTCACGAAAGCCCATCTCCCCCAAGAACCCAGGATCTTAGCCAGACAGCATACCTCTGTCTGCATAGCAGAGTGGTGCAAGGGACCCAGTGCTGTGAGCCGCAGACATGTTGGTGCCTGTACATTCCCATGCCAAAGCAAGTTTTCTTAGTCTCGCCTCCCAGCAGAGAAATACAGGGTTTTTTCCAGGTTCCCAGGTGGTCCCTGACATTCGCTGTTCAGTCAGCTAGCACGTAGCATAAGCTTGCTCAGATCTGCCTCCATTACCCTGATAACGGGGCAGTTGGACCTGCACGATTAACATCCCTAACGCAATCTCCTCCTTTCCCAGCCACAAGTGTATGGGTATGACGACTTGCAAATGCTTCAGACGAGATTCCCACTGGTGAGTCCATGCCTCTGGGGAATGTCTTGCTGTTGGCGTGCTAGCGTAGGAGGCTTCTGTGGGTCCAGTGGGGGGCATGTGTTAGGCTGCAAATGGTTTTGCTTCTCCTTGTGTTCTCTCACTTCGGATCACTTGGGAACTGGTACATTCAGGCAGCAGTGGTGTTGGGGGTGAGGAGCGTGTGAAACGTGTGTTGCACAGCAAGCAGGAGACTCTGTTCTTTGCTTGTGGGATGTCAAGTTCCCGCAGACATGGAGATTTCCTATCTTCTGCAGATAGAGCTGGCTGTGATTCTAAGGAGCAAGGGGGGGCTGCTTTTGTCTTGGAAGGTGGGCTGCAGTCCCGTGGCTGAGCCTGTGGGTCAGTACCGGCCCTGTGAGGTGCCAACATGGCAGTAGACCCTCTCTAGCTTTTCTCGTAGCTAGACGGGGGGGATGGTCACGCAACAAAATCCCGGAGTCACTATCAGATGCGATCAGCCTGCCTCCAACTGATCGAACTGCATTGCTCCAACATGCCCTCGCACGCTGCCCTCCAGGGGGCCTGTCCTCACGGTGGCAAACGCAGCTCGCTGAGCCTTCCCTCCGTCTGCCTTCTAGGATTACTACAGCATCCCATTCCCCACGCCTACCACCCCACTGACGGGAAGAGACGGCAGCCTGAGCAGCAACCCGTACTCTGGTAGGAGCTTGTTCCAGCATGGGCTTGGCAGGGCTATTGGGGCTTGAAGCAGAGCCTTGTGTGGGAACCTGTGGCCAGAGAGCCATGCCGTGGGAGCCGGAGTGCACTGGTTGTGTCCCATTCAACAGGGCAGGCTCCAAGGGAGGCATCATGTTCCCTTTGCTTCCAAAGGCACTACTTGTGCCCCTGGGATTTGAGGCAGCAAAGCCTTCAGTTTGCAGCTCTTTCCAGCTTCATAGCTTTAGTTTCTGTCTGGCAGAGCCCATTGAGGGGTGTGACTGGGTCAGGCACTTCCCTGTTGGAGCAGCATGAGCGAGAGGCAGAGTAACCAAGCTAAGGGAAGGCTAGGCTGTGTGCAGGGGCAGGTCAGGGAGTGCTGCACTGTGTTCAGGCTGAACCCCTAAGAGAATGTGGTGTTGGGTCATGGAACAGTAGGGAGTGGAATGGGGACTGGACAGTGCGTTCTGAATCCTGACTGGCCACATACTGGCAAGTGCCCCTGATGCTGGGATTGGCCTCTGCCCTGAAAGGTGTTTTGCAGCCTGACCTCTGACATGGAGCCCAGGCCTGAGGTCCTATGTGCTACTTGTTTCTTTCCTTCCCCTTCTTCAGCCTAGGGCTGGTTTGTGCACAGTAGCTTGGCCCAGCATGCTGCCTTAGCACCCAAGCCAGACCGCAGTGTTGCCATGTGCGTTTTATTTGCCAAGTTCGCCTTGGCACCCAGAATTAGCAGTTGCAGCCATCCCAGCCAGGCTGCATTGCTGAGATCGTGCAGAGGAAGTCGCTGTCTCACTGTGCCACACTGAATGGGGAGAGTGTTCCCATGAAAGAGCCAGGCAGGTGCTCGCAAAGAAAGGCGAGCAGCAGCTCCCTAGCCAGTGCCCTGGCACCAGGGCCGGCTGCTGGCTAGGGAAGAGGAAGTGAGAGTTCTGAGCATTTTCTGCAGCCCCTGGGCCCTGCGGGGGCACTTGGTTGTGTGCGGCAGGGGAGGGGGGTGGAGTGGGGTGGGGTGGGTTGGGTTGGTTGGTTGGTTTGTGAGCAGAGCTGCAGAAAGGAGTTATTCACAGCACCCTCAGCTGGCAAAGCTCTGACTCCCGTGATCTGAGCGTGCTGAGCCCCTTGCCTTGGGAGGAGAGGGCGGCTGCTGCTTTCGTCTAGTCCTCAAGGAAGGCTGTCCTGAAATTGCTGAGCTCAAGGATGTGGCTCACCACGCCCTAGTGCTCCCAGGCTCGTGCTGCTGACAGGGCTGGCTGGAACCTCCCAGACTGGCAGTGCTAGGTTTCATCTGCCCTCTGTCCACAGCGTACTATTCAGCTGCTCTTGGTCAGAGCCCTCAGCCCCAGGGAACATGATGCCTGTTTGCAAAGCGTTTGGGAATCGCTGGGTGGGACACATGCAAGGCACAGCTGACTCCATCCCCACCCCCAGTCCCTAGGCCGGTGTGCACATTCCCACCTGTCTCCCTCCATCCTCCCACTTCAGGTGACCTCACAAAGTTCGGCCGAGGTGATGCCTCCTCCCCTGCTCCGGCGACGACCCTGGCGCAGCCTCAGCAGAGCCAGACGCAGACACACCACACCACGCAGCAGACATTCCTGAACCCGGCCCTGCCTCCTGGCTACAGTTACACCAGTCTGCCATATTACACAGGGGTCCCTGGGCTCCCCAGCACCTTCCAGTACGGGCCTGCCGTGTTCCCTGTGAGTGTCCCCCTGCGCCATGGGCTTCAGGGTGGTAGCCCTGGGCAGTCTAGTGCTCACTGGCCCGGCCCACTCCTTTCTCCAGGTTGCTCCTACCTCTTCCAAGCAGCATGGTGTGAATGTCAGCGTGAACGCATCAGCAACCCCGTTCCAGCAGCCCAGTGGCTACGGCTCCCATGGATACAACACTGGTAAGGGGTTAGGCTGGATGGATCACTCCCTGTCACCTGTGACCAGCTAAGCCTGCAGCACTCTTTGCCAGCATGCTGAGCCTGGTGTGCTGCTCGCTGCTGGAAGAGAAATCTCAGCCTGTCTGAGGGGTTGTGCCTCTGCAGGGCTGGTTTCCTGCCCACCAGCCTGCCAGCAGGGCCAGGGGAGTTGGTCAGCGCCAGTTCTGGGCTGAGCTAGTGAGCTTCATCCGTCTCAGCTGCCATAGTGGGGGCTGCACTGCACCTTGCATGGCTTGCACAGGTGGGAGCTTGTGGCTCCTGACTGACCCTCCCTGGGCCCTCCATCCCTAGGTGTATCGGTGACATCCAGTAACACAGGAGTACCAGACATCTCGGGCTCAGTCTACTCCAAAACTCAGGTTGGTTTCTTCTCTCTGAACTCTGGGTGGATGGGAGTTATGTGGGTATGATCTGTGGTGGGGGCAGGGGGCTCTCCTGCCCTTGGCAGGGGCCAGACCCATAAGATTCTGCAGGAAGATGGTGTATTTGGCCCTGGGAAGGGCTGGCAGACTTCTGCCCTCTGAGCCAGGCAGCACAAAGGGGCCAGGGCACGGATGTCTCTCCTTCCCTCCCTCCTCCATTCTGTCTCTGGCACTGCCACATGTCCTGTGTGCGGGGGCGGCATTGCCGTGTGCAAGCGGACAGCCAGAGCAGCACGCAGCGCCAGCCATGCCTCACCTGTCTGCTGGCTTCTTCTTGGCAGCAGTCCTTTGAGAAGCAGGGATTTCACACTGGAACCCCAGCAGCCTCCTTCAACTTGCCTTCGGCGCTGGGCAGCAGCGGCCCCATCAATCCTGCCACAGCTGCGGCATACCCGCCGGCCCCCTTCATGCACATACTGACCCCACATCAGCAGCCCCACTCGCAGATCCTCCATCACCACCTGCAGCAGGATGGGCAGGTAAGCACCCCACTCCCGCCGGGTTATCTCCTAGGGCTCTTGCTCTCTGGCCCCCTCCCGCTCGCACTCCACAGCGGACACATGCAGACACGCGGCGACACGCACATGCTCTCACTCATGCCTGCACATACACGCCCGGCCTGAGAGGAAGAGGTGAGGAGGGCCCCGGGCGCTCTCCGCCAGGGGCTTGGCGCCGCCCTGTTGCTGCTGGGCTGTACCAGGTCCGTTCAGCCGGCACCCCTCCCCTGCGAACATACCTGGTACGGCCTGAGCTCCCCGTTCCCGGGAGGGGCGGCGTCGCAGGCTGGCAGTGAAGGGGTCAATCGCCACCTGCCATGAGCCCGCCGTAGCTTTCAGGTCTAACCGTGGATTTCTATTGTCATAGTTTGTCCCTTTATTTTACATATCCCGGTACTGCAACAGCTTCCATATTTGCAGATGATACTGTGCTGCCAACGCCAGCAGGAAGACCAGGTAATGAACCTCTGAATGATACTGCCTTGTGCCCACCCGCGCTGCCCCGGGGTCTCGCCCCTGCGCCCAGGCCCTCCTCCGCCCCCACCTTAGCCCCAGCCCGCAGCATCCAGCCAGGCAAGGAGGGAGGCAGCAGCCAGGATGCGCACACACACACCCGCGCGCGCACACATCCCCGTGCTCACCCCCCTGCTGGTGTTGGAAGCATTACTGGTCTGGTGTATGACGGTAGAACGGCTCGTGTGGAAGGAGAGTGGGGGCAGGGGGTGGGGCAGCATCTGGTGTGGGTTGTTTGACAACTGGGGCGCTACTTGCTGCTGCCACAGGCAGGAAGCCACTTTCTCCCTGGGCTCAAGTGGCAAGGGTGGAGCTGGCATTGGCCACAGCAGGTTGGTGGCAGCCATGGAGTACAGCGTGGAGCTGTAGTCTGGCATGGCCTCGTGGGCCTGCATTGTCATTGCGGGGCGGCTCAGCCCCCAGGACTGAGGCTCTGCCTTCCTTTTGGAGGCTGCACCACACCACACCGGCCGGTCACGGGACCCCGGGGCTCAGAGGCACCTGCTGCCCTCAGTAACCATCCACGTTCCCCCAACAGAGTGGCACCGGACAGCGCAGCCAGGGCAGCTCCATCCCCCAGAAGTCCCAGGCCAACAAGTCCACCTACAACAGCTACAACTGGGGTGCCAACTGAGCCGCCGCCAAGAGCAACAACCAACCCAACCTGCCACCCCAGGGAGAAGCGTGCACCACCCACGTCCCAGCCGTCTGGGCCGTGCTGGGCTCTGCATCGTGTCTGTTTGCAGCCACCTTTCCTGTTATATGTAATATAGAATTTGTATTTTTTTTCTCTCTCTCTGCATTCGGATTCTGAACCGTTTGCCGTAGGGGCCTCTCTTGGTTTTTACTCCTTGCTCCCTGCCCATCACCCTGCGCCCCCGACCCTGCCGGAGCCCAAGGAGTGGAAAGCTGCCAGCCCGCCTACAGCAAACCCCTTTACTATTAGGAATAAGAACAGTAATTGATATGAACAGCATTGTAAGATGAATTAGTTGAAGTGTTTTTGTACCGTGTTCCAAATTCAATGGATAAATGTGTCTTGTATATAAAAACGAAAACCCCACGCTGTCCTCTGGGTCTCATTTCCACAGCTGCTGGGGGAGCTGGGCAGAGCTACCCTGACTTTCAGTTCCGTTCCCACCCCACTGCCTGCCCCCTTCCCCTTCTGCTGTCCGCTGTAAGTATATTTTGCTTTCCCCCTTTTTTTTTTCCCCTTGGGGTTGGGGTGGGGGGGGAGTTTCTATGCAGTTGATTCTTGTATTTTTTCAGTTTCACCCAATCCCTTCAATAAGCCCCCGAATGGGTCGACGACTAAAAAGAATAAAGGTCACAACGTGCTGTGTGTATTTTTTAATACTGACATCCTGAGCCTGCTTCCATGTCTTGGCACAGGGTATCGGAGGGCAGGAGGGGGGGCATGGGGTCAGCTTGCCCATGCCTGGGGCCAAGAGAATGCTAACAGGGTTGATCCCTGGAGCTGCTCATCTCCCTGCCGAGTCTGGGGTGGTTTCTTAAAAAAATGTTTTAGCTCCTAGCTCTACGCTACATCTGGCTCCTCACCCTAGGGGCCCCGAGCAGCTCCAGTTCCCTAATGCTGGCTTAGCAGGCCCAGTACCCCTGTGCAACTGATGCCCAGTCCAGGCCTGGCTGCCTGCCTGACCAACAGGCTCAGGGAAGGAGCCGGGTGCCTTCTGCCTTCTGCCTTCTCCAGCAGGCTGGCAGGGGAGGGCCTGGTCCTGCTGTTCCCTAGCCACCATCCCTAGTTCTGCCAGGCCTCTGGTCCTAGCCCTGGCTGCCCTTGCTCTTCTGGGCACAATGGGGGAATTTGCTATGGGGTGTTGCCACTGCATGGTGCAGAACAGACTTCCAGGTCCAGGCAATGCCCCCCTGCCCTAACCTCTAACCTTAACCCCCCCCCCCCGATTGCTCTGCCCAGGGCGGCAGAGGTACAAATATTCAGCTCAGGCTCGAGTGGAAGGTGCTGCCATCTCTGGAGTGAAGTGGACTCTGTTTGGCCCTGCCATGGTGACCCACTTCCCCTGTGGGCTTTACTTCACTCCCCTGGTGCAGGTCAGGCAGCAGCAGCAGTAGCCCTGTAGGACCAGGGAGCTCCGGGCAAGGACTCAACCCCTTTGGCTGCCCTGTTGCTTTCGAGGCCATGTGGACAGGGAGCTGAGCTCTGCTCCATGCATGCTGGCCCTAGGGCAGGAGGGCTGGATGAAGGAGGGTGGTGTGGTGGCTGAGGCTGCATCCAGTACAGGCCTTGACCCTTTCCTTGGCCAAGGGCCTCAGCCCCTTGCTAGCTCTGTGGAGCAAAAGGAAATGGCAGCTATAGCTGTCAGCTGCACTCCCCAGGCTCAGCGGAAGCAGTGGGGCAGGAAGCTGCCTTGGCGCCTTTTTTAGCTGCCCGCAGGCGCTTGCTGCAGCGGCCCCCTTCCGGCTCCCTGCTTAGGAGACGAGCCCCGTCTGACTGTGCCCTCTGTGCCATCCCTGCACCAACCTGCTGTTCCCCACATCCCCTACGCTGCTCACCACAGGGCCAGGTAGGACCTGCCTGATGGATGCTCGGTGGGGGGGGGCACTTCAAGGGACATTGCACCCCTTCCCAGGCACCAGCCCCTTCCCCACAAGACAGCCTGGTGCACCTACCCAGGCTGTGCTCCCAGAGGTGGATCTTGGCTAGAAGCCTCCAGACATGGCACGTCCTGGTGCTCCCCAGTTGCCTCTGGCTCCCAACAGCTCCTCAGCACTTCCGCTCTGGGCCCCAGCCCATAAAGCACCAGCTTCCCTGCTCCATGACCTGCAGGTCCCCTTGGCTGCCAGGTCATGCCCCAGCGGTGCCCACATGTCCCCTGCTGTCTCAGCCAGGTCTGCAGGCACAGGCACGGTTGACTGGTGAGATGTGGTGGATGGGAACAGGGCTCTGGCTCCCAGTCCTGTGCAGCCAGTGCTGGGGCTGCCAGCTCTGCCCTGGGGATTTGTAAGTAGCAAAAACCCTCAGGGCGGCTGGGCCTTGGCCTTGCTGGGAGCCTGAAGATGCTCCAGAAAAGGGCTGGTCCCTCATGCCATAGCCTCCCATGCTGGGGCTGGCTCTGCCTGAACACCTGAAATAACTTGCCCGCCTCAACCTGATGTGTTGGGACAGGAGCAGGGGGTGGCAGCTGCGGCAGGCCTTGGAGCAGGATCCAGCTGCCAACGCAATCCGTGCTCTGTTCCAACAGGCAGGGAGGAAGGGGCAGTGGACCCCGCTGCGCACTTTGGCCCCTGGGGAGCACCCCAGGATGGATGTGGGAGCAGCTGCTGGGGGGAACTGAAGGCATCAGTGGAGCCAGAAACCCGCTGGGCTCATAAAGCCTCCACGTGACCCAGTGGCATAACCCACTGCAGCAGGGATGCAGTCACCTGCACGCCCACGAGCCCGGAGCTGTGAGATCCCGTGGGGGCCAGACCCCACCCGGCGCTTCTCTGTGAGGCCTCTGCAGGCACCCACAACCCCCCGGCACCGCGGCCTGCAGGAGCTGGTCCAGCTCTTCGAGCAGGGCACAGCCACAGAGGGCAGGCTCCAGGCTCCCCACAGCAGAGCCCAGACCAGACTGCAGAACAGGGGTCGTTCCCCCGGCCTGGGTGGCAGCCGGGCAGAACCTCCCGGGGGAACACGGCCTCCCCTGAGCCAGGTGCCCACAGGGCAGGCGGGGCCTGGCGCCTGGCCCAGCTGCTCCGTCAGGGAGCAGGTTCAGGCCTTTGAGCTGCGTTTTGGGTCCCCACAGGCCCCCTGCACGGCTGCAGCCCCCGACAGCAGAGGCGGGCATGGGGAACGCCCAGGGCCAGCCAGAGCCCACCAGAGTTGGAGCGGGAAGCAGGAGCCCCGGCCCCCATGGAGAGGGGGGCAGCTCCCGGGACCGTCAGCCCCTAGGCAGCCACAGCCGGGCAGCTCGGGGGCTAGCAGAGCCCTGGGCCTGACAGCAGCCAGGGCAGGAGCCCACCCAGGGGGGAGGGGCCAATCAGCTCCCTGGGGGCTGCCCCAGGCCCCCTCCGCTCCCCTCACTCTGCAGCTGGGGCAGGCGGGTGGCCCCCAGGCAGCTCTGGAGCTCAGCGCTGATACAGAAGTAGGGGCCTCCAGGGAGGGGAGACTGCGAGGCCTAGCTGCCTGGGTACCCCACTGCGCCCTGGCACCCTCAAGCCCAGTGGCCCTACATCCCTGGGAGCCCCCCTGGAGTGGCTTGGCCCAGCCGGGCCCCTTCACATCCTCCCCAATCCCCACCCGGCCACCCCCAGATGCCACCACCCCCAGGCACCGGGCCCTGGGGCCGCTCGCTGCTGCCCACCGTGGCCTGGGGGAGTCCGACGGGGAAGACTCCGACTTGACAGTGCCAGATGGGCAAGGCCAACCTGACCAGAGGAGCTTCACCCTCAGGTGGGTCAGGGCCAGGGCCTATGTGTGAGCAGGCCTGTGGGGCTAACTTGGGGCAGGTGTCACCCAGGGGCCAGCTCAAGGTCTTCTCTTCGTCCTCTTGCAGGGGTCCTGCAGGGAAGGAAGGGGCATTCTGGGCTGGGCAGAGCTCAGAGGGGCCCTGTATTGATGCTGGGGATAGAAAGAGGGCAGGATCAGTGCCTGTCTGCTGAGGGGTTGGGTGGGCGCTTGGTGCAGATGTGTAGGCTGGGTGCATTGGTATTGGGTTGAGGGGAGCAGGGAGTGGGGCAGGGCCTGGGTCATGGGGTTACTGCCATGACCTGTGTCCCTCCCCGTGCCCAGCCTGGCCGAGCTGTGGGACTGGGGCTTGGACAGGAAGGAGGCTTCGCAGGACGAGGGCGCCAGAGCCAAGACCTGCTCAGCGCCGTTGAACTCCAGCGTGTCCAGCGCATCGCTGATCCCAGCCGCCGACCTGGAGCTGATGCTGGAGGAGGCAAAGGGGCTGGGGGAGGAGACGCTGCAGGTACCGAGCCCCTAGGCTGGGGCTTCCTTTGGTCGCTGTGGCCCTGGGAGGTCCCCCGGTCACAGCCGATGCATCCCTTTGGCAGCACCTCGAGGACATCCATGTGGTCGTGCTGCACAAGGAGGAAGGCGCTGGGCTTGGCTTCAGCCTTGCAGGGGGCACCGACCAGCACCGGCGGGTGACGGTGAGCGCCAGGGCCACATGTTCAGCCGGGGGGTGGGGGGGCCACCCTAGGGCTCTAGTGCCTGAGGCTACTCCCTGGGTCCCCTCAGATCCACCGTATCTTCACTGGCGGCTTGGCCGCGCGGGACGGCTCCCTGCACCTGGGTGACGAGGTGCTCTCCATCAACGGGCACCCGCTGGGGGGCTGCAGCCACGCACAGGCGCTGCGGGTGCTGCACGGGGCCCGAGCCGCCCGCCAGGCTGTCGTGGTGCTGCGCAGGGGCAGCAAGGACGTGGCCCCCAACGGGACCACTCTGTCTACGCCAGGTAAGGGGCAGGTGGGATCCGGGGGGGCCATTCCCTGGAAACGGCGGGTGTCTGACCGCCCCCTCTGTCCGTCCTCCCTGCAGAGGAGCCAGTCACGGTGCTGTCGGTGCAGCTGATGAAGGACTCGGGGGGCCTAGGCTTCAGCCTAGCTGGAGGCCGGGGCTCACTGCGCGGGGACCAGCCGCTCACTGTCCAGAGGGTCTTCCTGGGTGAGGCACTGGGGGGCAGCAGGGGTGACCGGCCAGAGGCGTGATACCAGATCTGGGGGGAGGGCAGGGCAGGGCAGGGCAGGGCAGGATGGGTGCTGGAGGGCGGTCTTGAGGGTGCCTGGGCTGGGCGGGGCAGGGACCAGGGAGGATT